TATATATATATATATAGGTGAGTAAATTGTAAATATAAGAAGATTATCAAAAATCAGTTTCTATTTCAAATTAGATCTCATATAGAGAGAATATATTAATAATAAAAATGATTGATTTTAGGGAAAACAATCTCAGCGATATAATTACGTTAAAGAAAGGTCGCCTAGAGGATATTAATATAGGGGTAGATAAAGTGGATGCAATAATATCTGAGTGGATGGGATATTTTCTCTTGTTTGAAGGAATGCTGGACACAGTCATTTATGCTAGGGAACATTATTTAACACCTGATGGAGTAATTCTTCCAAACAGATGCACAATTAGTATTATCGGAAGCGGTGACACGAGTATGTGTTACAATTGTTACTTTTTCTACAATAACTAAATATGTTTCTTAACAAAAAATTCAATATTTAAGGGATATAATCCAATATTATTTAGAAAGCTATTTTGTATACATTATTATTGTTTCACACAGAGAGATATATCGATCTGGTTGATTATTGGTCGAATGTGTACGGTTTTAAAATGAGCTGCATGAAGGCGGAGGTAGTACGTGAACCGAGTATAGAGATCTGTAATGTCGACAATCTGATAACGAGCACCGCCGAGATCCAAGTCTTCGACTTGTACAAAGTCACTAAGGACTGCGTTAATTTCTCGTCTCCCTTCACGTTGAATGTAAAAAAGACGGGATCGTTAACCGCGATAATCGGTTATTTTGACATTTTCTTCGATCTCGAGAACCCGGTACATTTCAGCACAGGCCCTCATTCTACTCCGACACATTGGAAACAAACGGTATTTTCCTTAAGCGAGCCTATTAGTATAACCGAAGGTAAGTTATTATATTTTTAATTAGTTTTTACAATGTGATTAATATATCAGTTCTCTCTTATATCATATTTAAATTATATTCCTCTCGATCGTAGGTGAGGTTCTAACTGGCACACTGATTTGCCGAAGACACTGTAAAGACATCCGAGGCTTAATCGTTACTATCCATATAAAAAACTTCACTCAGGTATATTATCTAGATTAAAGATTGAATATTTGTTTATCCGTTAAATATACGCGCGAACAAATAGCCGTACGTGCCAAACTTGAGAATAGGGGTCCACCTATCAAATTCCGTTAGACATTAATACGTAAAAGACGCGTGATTAAGTTTTACATCTCTTTCTATATAGTTTAAAAAATTTCCTATCTATAATCTTTTCTCTATATATTCTATCTATAATCTCCATTTAGATACTCAAACAGGAAGAGTAATTTTCACATTTATGCATTTCGAAATTCCGGCTCTTAATTTTTATGCTGAAAGTATGAATATATGCTGTTGCACATAGATATGGGTGTGTGTGTGTGTGTGTGCGCGCGCGCGCGCGCGTGTATGGGCGTGTGCGTGTATGTATATATGTATTTCTTTCACTGCAAGCGAGATATAGAATGCGGCAGTTCTTCTTAAATAATTTGCGGATTCGAATTAAAATATAATAATTGATCTAGTAGCTATTTACATTTGTGCCTTTTTAATGATAGCGATTCATATCTCTATAAATCAATATTATATATATATACATACATTCTTATAAACTCAACTTTAAGAATTTTTGCATGAACGATAGAGTTTCAATCTTATAGTTGAACATTCACTGCGTAAGCACAAAAAAGCAAAAAAAAAAAGTTTAAAATTAGTATACAGACAACGATATATAGTGTGTTCGCCCAAGTTCAATTTTTGCTAAATCATTCTAAAGAGTATTTGGCATTCTACAATTTCTTCGGAGTTCTCTTGTTGCTGCTACCAATTTTTCTCCGCAATAAAAATTTCATTAATATCTCTTTGACGAAACAATATTGATAGATATACTTCAGTCGTCCGATATATTAATATTATGCAAACTCTCCTGCCACACGTTCTTCTTGCATGTGATACGTATGTACAAGGACCGAATTATCGAGAATAATATAGAGATCGTGCTTGCTCCGAATTAAAATTGCAATCAAACAATTAATTATACGATTCTGTGATATGAAAAAATTAGCTATAGAGTGTTTATCGAGAGAGCGATACACCGGTGACATTTTTCGCAGTTATTTATATACGAGGGGGACAGTGTATACGTATGTGAAAAAAAATAAGGCCTACTTTGCCTCGTATATACGTATACATACAGCTATCGTATAAGTACATGACCTGTTGAAATAGCGAATTTTAATCCGCATGTAATTATCAATTAATTATATTATAATCGCTCTTTTAAAATGTACGCAAATTGAAATAAATACTTTAGAATCTTATAAGCTTGCTGAATCATTTATGTATATGCTATTCTAAGTTTATTCTTGTCTTTAAAGATACATAGAATTTATAAATATATCATTTTCTCTTACGGATAAAATATATAGCATTTTATTTCACATTTCATCCGAAATTCATTCTCACGTTTCATCCAAACATTTTTTTAGTTCAAAATGCTAAACATTTTAACAAATGCTAACAGTATATCGGTAATTTAGCATTTATTAATAAAGCATTTATGAAGTTATTTAACATCAAATATTATAAGCTTTCAAATTTATTATACAGTTCAATAAAATATACGTTATGTATTTAGGAGTTATTGAGTTTTGAAATAATTACGATATTTCTATGCAAATAACGGACATTCTATCTTTTATTATGAAGGAAGATCGACTTCATTGAATACAGTATATCCGAGACTCTTATCTTACGTTCAGAGCCCCGAACTGTGCGCTATTAAAAAAGTTCCATTAATAATAATAATAGTAATAATAATAATATCTGTCAGACAATTTGTGAAGAAAAATGCGCTACACTCTCGAGTATACCTCGTATAATTAGACGATGCCGTATAACAATTACGAAGGAGAATGGGCATGCCGTCGGTTAGAAATACATGGACGGGCGTTCACCGGTGACGGCACGATATGCCACTCGTATGTTTGTCGGTGGTAAACTTACCGGGTTCACTCGATATCCCATGGCGCGAATAACGTGCTCGCGAGACGAGAAGATACCGGCATTGGAAAGCGTGTGGTATCCGCCGTGGCGCGTATGTTTAACGTAACTCTATCCAATAATGCACGTTCTGGCCTAGGGCAACCGAGTGTGCCCCCCATCCCCGTCGAACACTCGGCAAACACATATGGAAGGTAGGGCAGAGTCACATATCGTGCGTACCCACATACACATATATTTGGATAAAAATCCTCTCTTTCTTTCTACATATAAAAGTATTCATTTATATATGCGTACCATGTTACGGTATTCGTTCGTCGAGAGAAAGATCCTGTTTTCTCTTTGAGAGTACTCGCGCATTTTAATGGAAATTTTAATCGCGAAATCTGAAAAGATCCCTATTGGTGAATTGGTTTTTTATTAATATACAGGGCGAGAATAGAGATTTCAATCGAACCAAACGATTTTTCGGAATATTTTCTGATGGGAAGATTATCAAGAATATCGCTCAGAAATATTAGGAGAGACAGGGGCGAATTTTTAAATTTGAAATATATCTTCAAAATAAAAAATATAGGAAACAGCAATACATAAAAAATATGATATTAAAATTATAATATTTAAAATTATCAAAAAGAGAGAGAGAGAGAGAGAGAGAGAGAGAGAAGGTGCTATAATCTCCTGGTTTCTCCTACGTTAAAACTCTAAATATTAAAGTAAAACTGAATGCAGAATTATATATTTTTTACGTACATTGTAAAATCATATATTTTCTGGTATTCATAAATTTACTATTACTTATAAAAAAATCGACGTATGAAAAATATCTTTACACAATTTGAGTGAAGAATTTTCTTCGAATGCCACGAAGGAAAGGCAATCATCTGATGTGAGTAGAATTTGCGCTAAGAATCTTTTAAAAACAATGAAAGAGTACTTTAAGATACACACACGCACTTATATGAAATATTATAATTAAAAGATATCCCTGATAACTTTTCTCAATAAAATGTTAATTTTTAATTAAACTTACGTCCGTGGAAAATCCAGAAGGATGCACATGCGGCTTCTCGTCTGTCCGCCATCAAAAATCGTCGGAGTCCTTGAAGAATACTGGAGGCGAGGCAACTGCAAAGTAATAGCCGTCGTTTAGGGCCCGGTGCGGATAAGGAGCGTCAACAGGGGTAGGGGCGGGTGGAACGGGAGATATAGCGGGAGAACGGGGGTGGAAACGAGAGAGCGACCGAGGCCGGGGATAAGGGTGGCTTGTTGCGTAAGCCGATTAGAGCATCACGGCAGTCACTCCTGTCCCGTGCAACGTGGTGGCACACTGTCTCTCTCTCTCTCTCGGATCTACCGGATGTTCGCCGAGCAGAGACACATTAAAATCGCATGAAATATGCACGGAGCCACCCTCCTCCCCGTCCCGTTCCCTCCATACCAGCGGACAAGAGCACTCGCCTACATCCGCGTAGGCAAAAAGCTTACCCGCTCGTCCTGGAAGCTCGTCTACTATCTCTCTTTCTCCCGCACAAGAGAAACGAGCACTAGCGCGTTCCGCTTTTGCGAGATATTTAGGAGATCCCTCTGTCATGCTTTCGCAACGACGAAGGGGGGGGGGGAGGGAATCTTGCTCCGCCTCTTCCTTCATCGAGAGGCGATCGACGTGGCGGTGCTGATACGATCGAAAAAATGTTTGTATAATAGAATTGAGAGTCTAATATTAGGGAGAATATATAATTGTATAGCTGATGGTAAAACGATATTTTTTATAAGATAGATAAAGTACGCATTTGGCTATAATTTAATTCTCAAAGTTGTTGTTCCAACTTTGAAATTTTGGGCCCGTAATCAACATCGGATTTATCACTGGACTTCGCGTGCATTTCCGATTCGAAGAGAAAAATTGTGGACCTAAAACACAGACGTGGAAGCATAGAGGATCCGTCAGTAACTTGGAATATTAATTTTTCAGAGTCCCAGAAGCTTAAATCCACAGATGCTAAATCCGTTTATATTTTGTTTCGCCCGTCGATCTTAGTTCGCGCGAGTCACGTATTCTTTTTTTTTTTTTTTTTTTTTTTTTTTTTTTTTTTCGAATAGGTCGACGCATTAACAACTGCTCGCTGTACAATTTCGCGACCGAAAAGCGCAACGCGTATCTATCTAATGTCCGCTCGTCCCTCCCGCGCGTGGGTAATCCGAGCGACGCATGACGCGCGGATATTTTCATATATATATATATATATATATATATATATATATATATATATTCTTCAATTGTAATAGATGCAATTTAAAAATACATAATTTATTCAATATTCAAAATAATCATTTATTCAGGCATATTATAAAAATTTTATATAATAAAAAAAAAAATCTTTTACGAAAACGCATTGTTTCACTATTATAATCAGAATCTAAAGGGAAAAAAATGATGTAACATTTCAGAATATATCTCAGAGAGATTATATACTTATATAGGCTGCCTTCCGATATTCACTGCTAGTACAGAAAATCTATAGTTTACGTCACGTACACTATAGATTTTCAGTACTGGCAGCGAATATCGGAACGCAGCCATAGTATATGTATAGAGAGAGAGAGAGAGGGAATTTCATAGCAATTGCTTTTAAATTCTTAATGGATGCCAAATTTTATAAATCAATGGGGAGGTCAAACCTATGTAATTCTATATATAAGACCATTAAAATTAAAAAGTATTTGTTTTAAAATTAAAAATTTAATAAATATTAAAATAAATTATAACAGTCTCAGACACGACATAGAGCACGATTGGGAAATAATGCGCTATTTGTAACGTGTACGTTCTGCGAAACGCATTCTGTACATAGTGCGCGCAGTAGCGCAACACGTGGCAAAATGTTTCGCCATCGGTATCAAATAATCATGGCAAATCCGCATCGACCGCGTCGCTCGCTCGCGTTAATGCCTATATTTTACATCCGTCCGTATTTAGTTCGAATAACGTTTGGCGGATAATAATGGACCATTTGCCACTTGTTTTCGTTCGCCCGGCGGAATGATTACGCCGGGATATGCGCGTTGAAATTTTATGCTCGAGGAACGAGAGAGATGGAGTAAATGGAAGAGAGAGAGAGAGAGAGAGAGAGAGAGAGAGAGAGAGAAAGAGAGAGAGAAAGAGAGAAAGAGAGAGCAAAAGATAGAGAGGAAGAGAGATTATGGGGCGAATGTACGCGAACGGATTTCCGTATTGCAATATTTCCCCCTCCTCCTGACCTAATAATACATACATACATACATACATATATATATATATACATACATACATACTACATACATACAGTATGTGTGATCGCTTCTATAACATATTTCTCTAAAGTATCTAACATGTCTATCTAACTATCTATGTATATATGTGTGTGTGTGTGTATACAGGCGTAGATTACGAGACGTTTTGTATCTATAGACACGGCATACGAACTCGATAGTATTGTGTAATTGTGTTAAAAAAGATTAAATCGGTGAGATAATTATTCGCAAAGCCTTACAAAAAACCTGATTACTAATAATGATAATGATAATAATAAGTTAAAATGCTACATCAGCGAGTAATATTTTCATAACCTTCTTTTAGAGTCTGTAAATTCCTCCCAATATATATGGGTAATTCCTAATAGCCTTACAATTTCAATCCGCATAAACTTGAATTGATGAATCCTATCATCTTATTAATTAGTCTCATAACTATATTCATTGTAATACAAATATATTTTATGCTAAGTGAACCACAAGCGTGTTTGTCAGGATTGATTTCGTTCAAACGCTCACATAGACCTCATCACCATGCAACCTCATCTCTTTCGTTCTACTAATCTTTTATCGGTCAAATGATACAAAACGTATGTACGTTCCCTTCTATGTATTGTACTTCGCAATTAAACATGTCGTCCGTTATTACACTGTACAAGAGAGCTATTAATAATAAAATAAAAATTAATTTGATTAATATGTAATAAC